TTGGAACAGTGACAGTAAGAACTCCATCTGTCGACATGGACGAGGACACAGTGTCTTCGCTCAAGAGACCTGGGAATGAGAATCGTCGACAGAAAGTGTTCTTTGAGACGGCGCCATCCTGTCGCTTCTCGACGCTGCCTTCTATCACCAGTTCACTGTCGTCCACCACCTTCACTTTGACGTCTTCGTTCATGAAGTCGTGAACGTCCAACACCACCTGTTTGGATGGAAAATATTGAACCTTACTGATTTTCCCCCTAGGGAATCATACGACCAGGTTTCTGTCTAAGAACTCGTCTGAAATATCGTTCATATGGAATTTATGCTACTAACCGTAGATTTCATTTTACCATGAGGTCAGTTACCCACCTTAAATCCGTGTTGATCTTCTGTGGTCTTCATCGCTTGAGTCTCATCCTTGAGCTCACGTTCCCGTAGGCTTCGATAGCAGGAGAAATCGTCATTGGCACTCCTTATAATGTCATGCCTGCTGAGGACTTCATTAATAGCCGTTTCGAAGTCCTTACGTACATCGTCGAAGAAGGAATCAGAGAAGAACTGACCCTTTGAGGAGATGGGAAGACACTGGTCGTTCATGTCTTTGCTTGACTGTGTGTTGTGGAGAAACGTGCCTCCACTTTCAGTGACTTTGTTATAGGCGTCGTTTTCTTGATTTTCCTCACTGAAGATATTACTCACGACGGACGATGATGTCGCTTTAGTCCTTTTTACACTTACATTCCGGCGTTCGGAGTGAAAGCTTTGTCTTTCTGATGTTGATTCCTTCGCGAAAGTTTGTTTTTCTTCTGTACTGTTAGAGGAAGACTGCGAAACCTGAGATTCTGAAGTTTCAGAGGCCGTACTGGTCTTAGATTGCGATGTTGCCTGATGAAAGGGAACTTAGTTTATTGAACCATATCTACCAAGCTTCATCATTCATTATCTCCAGGCTCTGACCTAAAATCGAAATATAGAGGAAAGTGTATAAAATTACCTTTGGTACGTTGACAGTGAGGATGCCGTCAGATGACTTCACAGATGTAACGGTGTCGGCACTCACGAGTCCTGGGAAGCAAAAACGGCGGAAGAAACTCTTGCTGGACACGGAATCGTCTCGCTTGATCTCCAAACTGCCTTCGATTGTTAACTCATTCTCGTCCACCACTTTGACCTTGACGTCGCCTTCCTTGAAGTCTTGTACATCAACCACAATCTAATTTGAAAAGGATATAAATATTATTTCGCACGCATGGATGCAACAACATGAGTTTATGAAACGAACGATTGTGTACATGGTAAAATGAAGTCAAATATATTAGTACTGAATGCCATGTCACTGACCTTATAACACTGGTGGTCCTCATTGAAGGCAACGGCTTGGTTCTCTTCCTGCAAGTTGTGTTTTTCGCAAGTTTCCTGTACATGTCCATGTGGTCGCTCGCAGAGTCCAGTTGTCCCCACTCTTTGAGAACTTGGTCGACGGCTTGTTGGAATGTCTGTCGAGTGTCCTGGAAGAAGGAATCGCCGAAGAAAGGCCCTCTTTCGGAAATGGGAAGAAGGTGGAAGGGAGCAAGTGGCTTGGCCTCCGTCGACTCGCTCGATGCCTGCGTGTTCTGAGACTCCGTCGACTGAGCCTGATCTTGCACTTTCGCTCGAGACGATTTTGATGTTTTTCCTTCGAAACTAACTTGTTTTGCTTCGACGTTATTTGTGATATTCTTGTGTGCATTTATAGCATCTGCAGAGTTTTTGTGCGAGGCAGTGATTTTGATAGTTTGGGCCTCCTTGTTTGTTAAGGAATTCTGGAAGAAGAATTTCAGATAAATGAAGGTTTCTTATTTGTAAAAAGTTTCAGATAATGTGCAGCCTGTAAATGATGATTGTGTTCAATCACATCTTTTACCACGTACCTTCTTTGGAACAGTGACAGTAAGAACTCCATCTGTCGACATGGACGAGGACACAGTGTCTTCGCTCAAGAGACCTGGGAATGAGAATCGTCGACAGAAAGTGTTCTTCGAGACGGCGCCATCCTGTCGCTTCTCGACGCTGCCTTCTATCACCAGTTCACTGTCGTCCACCACCTTCACTTTGATGTCGCCGTCCATGAAGTCACGGACGTCAATCACGACCTGAGGAACATATGCCTATGAATGACCAGATATGATGGAGACGCAAACAACAGATTGACTCCTTAAGAAGATAAACAACAGTATACTGTATGTAGACATTTACCTGATGGGAGCTGTCGTCCTGCTTGACGAAAAGAGCCTGAGTCTCTTCCGTGAGGTTGAGGTCTCGCATTCGTCTGTAGGAAAGAAGGTTATCCTCGAAAGGCGACCTGGAGTCCCACAGGTCTAACGTGTCCTTTACGGCATTATCGAAATGTTCTCGGAGATCCTTGAAGAAGGAGTCATGATAGAAGTGACCTCGTGAGGTGATGGGCAGTGCGACCTCTCGCTCTTCCTTCTCTGTCGAAGTGGGTTGTGTGATTACTTGG